TCCACTGACTTGCCATTAGCCCTCTCGAGGGTGAGCTCAGACATCTTGACCAAAAACCTGCCGATAAACTCGTCGGCGTTCCACTTGTCCTTATCGTAGACCTCGAACTGTAAGACGCTGTCCGTCCGGAGTATCATTTGGTGGGCCATCTGGTAGTTCCACACCGGGTTCAGTGTGTCCTTCTGGACGGGTGTCTGTCCGATGAACGAGTTGTCCACATAGGCCTTAACGTAGGCGTCCGACTCGGCCGCCATATATGAGCGGTCTTTGTTGGGAACCACCGCCCGATTGATGATTATTGTGGCCAATAAATGGTCAATGATTTTCGGTTTCTTAGTGGATGTAGTGGTAGTAGAGATGATTGTAGTGGTAATCGTGGTCGGGATGGGAGTGGTAGTAGTGGTTGTTGTTGTAGTAGTAGTTGTTGTCGGAGTGGTTGTGGATAGCATTGGGGTTGAAGTCGTGGGTTTAGTTGTGATTAAGACCTCATCCTGAGTGCTATCACTGATAATCTTCTCGGCCTTATTGTTGTCATTATCACTGACTTCTGGAGCGCTCATGAAGTGGACAGTGGACAAGATGGCTAACAGCCCGGCCAATAATATGAGACACACCGCTCCGCCGATTAAGAGTTTCTTGAGATTGACTCTGCGTTTGAAGTCAGCGCTCGAGAAGGGCTTTATCTCGACGTCACCGCCGCTGAACACCGCACCGAACCCTCCTCCGCCTCCCTGTCCTCCCATAAAAACAATTAAAAACTGTATAACTGGTTCACACAAAACTTTAAGACCTTTTCAGCCATGTATTCCTCAGTATTCTTGTAGTGGTTGTCCCCAAAACTGATGATAATTTTTCAAGTGTTGTTGTATTGAGTCAATCGATGATTGCATTCAATAATAGTATAAAAGTTTTTTGATTACAATTTCCGCTCTCTGTCTGCACTCAATCACTGGGCGCTACTATTAGGGCTTATCGTTTAAATGCCTTTCCCCTCATTATGAGGCTATTTATACCATTCATTCTAATAGTATAAAAGTTTTTTGATTACAATTTCCGCTCTCTGTCTGCACTCAATCACTGGGCGCTACTATTAGGGCTTATCGTTTAAATGCCTTTCCCCTCATTATGAGGCTATTTATACCATTCATTCACTTCCATCGACTTTCTCTCCCTTATCTCACATCTCTTCACACATCCCTTCCCATTCCCAGAGTTACACTGTTTGGCTAAATGACCCATAAATTGATTTAAGAAATATAAAAAAGTTTTTGTTATTCACTGAGATTTAGGGCTGATTTGCGTTCAACAAAAAGCCAGACATGTCACGAGACAACAGTCTGTTTGTCATTAAATGAATCATAAATTATTTATTAAAAACATTTAATAGTTTTAAATTGTTTTTCATAATTTACTGAATATTCATTTATTGTCTATTTTAACCTTCCGGTGCAGTTGAGACCACATGCAAGGGTTTAGGGCTCAATCGCACGATGGTATACGAGTCGAAAGGCTGTCCACAGGAGCAGGACTTGATGGACGAGTTGTGTCCAATGACTGGCTTTTGGCCCTACTTTTTCTCACTCCAGTACTTCATATTCCTGAAGCTGGTTCTGATGACACTCCTGTACGCCCTCTTTGCCGCCACCGCATCACGACTACAGACAGAGACCGACAATATCTGGAAGTTTCAGAGGTATATACTGGTCGTCGACTTCGCCCACCGGCTCCCACTGCCCG